AAAAGCGTATTGCTGAGTNCGGTGCAGGTGATTTGAGACCTGAAGGCGCGGCCGGGACCAGCGTACCAGGCGTGCGAGCGAAGCGACATCGATGAGAATTCAACCAGGTTATGTCGGTCAACACAGCTGCGTAGGGCTGCTGTCACATTATCAAAAACAAGCAAACCAACAAACAAGGGCTCGACAATCGACTCACCCTAAATTGATCGGCAGGGGAACACCTGGTGGAGGTCGAGGGCATGGAAGGAGCGATGATGGCGCCTGCGTGCTCGCAGCCGAAGGCGATGGGGCTCTTTCTGCGGTCACGGGCGGTTGGGCACTGGCGGCAACGTCGGCAACTTCATCTGCCACGGTCGTTGAAGCTGTGGCAACAGATCGGGTCCCTATTGGAAGCCGCAATCAGAGCGTGCGCCTAATGAGGCTGGCTAGAAAGTGGGCCACATCACACGCGGAGCCCACCTTGAATGGGAAAGAAGGTGTCGATAGTTGCTGCACGTCGTCGTTGTTGACCATCGCAGGCCATGGCATGGCGGTCTCTTGGCATGGTCAGATCTGCTCAGGGTTGGCAAGCTATCCCTTTGGCAGCTGGCTTTGATGCGCGAACAAAATTGGAAAAAAAAAAAAATGAAAATTTAATTTTCAACCAGAAGTAATATACTTTCAACCCCATTATCTCATGTTGAGATTTGAATTATTGAAGCCCTCAAAAATGGCCTGAACTTATTCAGAATAGCAACAAAGATATAGAAATATTTCGAGCCCCATCATGACAAAGAATACCTTTTATGAATCAAGTCAGAACGTAAATTTGGGCAAAAGCAATTCAAAAAGGTATTGTACAGAATACAGGGGATCGAATATGTCAAAGTACATGACATTTCCTCCCGAGGGTAATTGCCCCAAGCCCCAGACGGCGAAGCGAGGAAAAAAACAAAAAGCATGGGAGAAGATGGAAGGGGCATTGATGGGATGGCAAGGGAAGAGACGAAAAGGGGGCACGGAGGAAAGAAGGAAGAAGTGAAGGAGAGGGGAAGGGGTCAGGAGATGGTGAAAGGGAGAATTAACATCATGAGAATAAAATAGTAAAGGAATGGAAGAG